TAATTCGGTGTTGTTGACGGCAATGTGGTTGGAAGAGATGGTAAAATCCAATTAGCAGATTCCGAAGTTAAATTTACAGTCATGATTAATAAAAAAATACAAAAGTTTTAAGTAAAACAACACAAATGTCAAAGTTTAGGTAAAAAATTTCGATCGATTTTTTTCCTTTTTCTTTTGTTTCTATTCAAGTAACCATTCTTCTTTTCTTTGCTTTGCTTTTGATAGAACATGATAGACATCTTGTATATGTAAGTTGCTAAGCAATGTCCAACATAATTGAACCATTCTAGTTATTTTAGTCTAGTTTTCTATTAATCAAGATTATAAATATATATTTTAGAATATTTGAATATTTTGTAAATAAAATAATTACTTTTGCGACATCTAAATTATAATTTTAGATTGCCAATCTTCGAATCTTAGTGTTGCTACTTCCTATTGGCTGTTGTATACTTAGTAAATATGCGTCACACATTACATAAATGTAAATCATTAGATATAGTTTACTTGCAAAATCGAATTGGATGCTAAACTACACTCAAACGAGCAAATTTTATTGTTATTATTATGTTCTTGAAAAACATATGATTCAGACTTTGTTGTTTGTCATGCAAATACCTTGGACTTAATACACATTTCATTGTAATACGTCTCAGCCAAATGGTAAAAGTGTGACATAGACGTGCACATATTTATCAGCAAATTCACCTTTGAGATATTTATTTACAGACGTTTCAATCAAAAAAAAGAAAAACTACCCAAAAAGCCATTTAAAAGGACGAATTATTAAGAGATTCATTTTTTTCTGTATGCCATTTTAGTAAGTCAAGAGTTTGATCATGTACGAAATTTCGATGTCATTAAGTGTGTTTGTTGTTCGATGCTTTAGTTACCTACTTGAAGTTGAGTTAGATAAAAAAAAATATTACTGCTCATCGTTTTATATCTTCTTCTATTTGTTTATCATTCTTAAATGCTTCTCGAAGATTCGATTCAAGACTATACCTTATTGCGTATCTTTTTACTGTTTTGATAATGCAAAAAAAAAAAAAAATAATTATTTTATAAATATGTAATCATTCATCTTAATATCGAACAACCAGTATACATTGAAAATATGAAGAAAAAGATTCAATTTCAGCGTGTCCTCAGTTTTATTGACATATATATATTTGCGCAGTTATGTCTCGTTCGATTTTTTTTTATCAAATGCACATATTATTATAAGAATTGCTCATGTTGCAAAACTGGACACAAGACAGAGATGTAATGATTACATTTTCCTTTTTCTTTCTGTCTTTTTGCCTTTGTTTGTCTTTTTATCGATCTTGTATATATGTGTGTGTGCGTGTGCTCCGACTTTTAGTAGCTAATAAGAGAAATATCGACGTGCAACTTTACCAACCAACAATAAAATAGACAGAAAGAGAGAGATGAAGCGAAGCAAAAGAATACTCCGTCCGCCGCGTTGGTATAGTGGATGATGTAGTGATGCGTGCTCGAAGAATCATTTTCTCTTCTTTCGTGTTTCATAACTCGTCCACATTAGTTTCACTGAAGTTTGACTAGGACGCACTTTGTATATATGCTTCGTCTACCTTTTTCTTTCTTTCTCATGAATATTGTGACTCATCGATAACCGAAGACTTTGATCTTTGTTTTTATGTTTTTAGATATATATATATATATATATCATTCTATTTTGAAAGCGTCGAAATTTTTTCATAATGGATACTAACAATTATAATGCTGATTCAACAACAGGTGTTTGGAATACAAGTCCAGCTAATGATAATGATGAAACACCAACAGTAAATTCAACAAATCCAAATTATCATGCAGTTATTGATTCTGTTGTTCATAAAGGCAAAACGGAATTTCAAAAAGGTCAACAATCTACTGAAACTATTGTTTCAAAGGCAAAAAAACTCATGCAACAACATTGTAAGTTAAATATATTAGACTTTGTCAAAGTTTCTAAGTCTTTGATCTGTTTCTATCCAATTCTACTTAGTCACATAGACAATTTTCTTTTTACACAACTAAAGAAGATTAGTCTGGGGATTTGATACAGATGGACAAAAGATAACTTTCACCACTTTTTTTTCTCGCATTGCATATAGATTATCGTTGACAACTTTTCTTCCCGTTTTCATTAGTTAGTATGTGGTTTGGTAGTCGTCGAACATGACGTCAATTTCCATATATCAAATCTGATTTAGTAAATCTACAGCATATTCTCTAGTGAAAGAAATGTATTAGTGCACATACTCTTCTTTCATCAAACTTGCAAACAACCAAATGACAGATCATTCTAAATATAATTGTGCGCGTGCTATTCATCATGATTTCCCTTTAGTAATTTCGTCGTCACCATCATTCTCTATTGCTCATATAAGATCCGAAAAGAACAAAAAAAAAAAGAGAACCGAGCACGAAGAAGAAAAAGAAGGGAAACAAGAAAGAAAAAAGTCTATGGATGATGATAGATGTACTTCGGACTGGGTCTATTGATGTTTTTTTTCCTCTTCGTTCTATTATTGTGACGAACGAGAAGAAAAAACAGAAAATTCATGAGATTATATATTCCCATTGGCAAAGAACCAAGTATTGCTTTCTTTATTTGTTTTAGGGGATCATACTCGTCAATCACTTGCTCGACTACGAAAAAGGATTAGTGAAATGGTACCAAAATCAGGTATAAAAAATACAAAAATAAACATTTATTTATTTGTTTTAAGTATATTTTTTTCGATTTTTAGCTAATAATCTTATTTATTGGCGAAATCCAATTCAATCTGGCCTTGTTTTGGGTGTTTCATTATCTGTTATAATAACATTCATGTTTTTGTCATCATTGGCAGCCATTTCGTTTTGGTTACTTGCATTGCTTGTAGTCTCTGGTCTCTACCAATTGTATAATTATGTCATGGTGACCTTCGTTGGACGTGCTCAGGATGACATACTCGAGTAAGAAAAGATGTAACATCTTAAAATTACTAATCAATTGTTTGTTTGTTTTTTAATATTTAGTTCAATGTTTCCATCTGATATATCTATCTCAGAACAACAGGCTCGTGATTTGGCTCATAATATTCGTGTTAATGGAACAAGTCTATTAAAACATGGAAGAAATCTTTTCTTATGGCAAAATTTAACAAATTCAATTCTTGTAAATAATATTTATGAATATAAACCTTTTTTTTTTTGTAAATTTAATTTTCTTATATTTTAATTTTAGTTTGGTCTTATACTATTTGTCTTTTTCTATATTGGTTTATCAATGAATGCATTAACATTTGCACTTATTGGTTTAATTTTCTTATTTACTGTACCAAAAATTTATCAAGTATATCAAGTTAGTATTGATTAGTTTTTAATCATAGTTTTAAATATTTTTTTCTCTTTATTAGGTACCAATTGATCGTACTGCTAAGCAAGTACTTGATCAAATTAATCAACTTTTAGCTAAGTAAGTCTATTTAAAATAGATGTATAATTGTAATTTATTTTATATGGATATTCTAGAGTCACATCAAAATTACCAAATAAAGCGAAAAAACCTTAAGCAATAACCACGACGAACATTTATTCTACTCATATATGTTCAATCAAATCTTTTTTTTTTAGACAATATCTTCTAAACTGTTTTTCTTTTCTTTTCTTCTTGAAACAAAAATATGAAAGGTGGAATTAAGTGCTAGACGTTCTCTTTTTTCTTGATTTACTTTTGTGTATGTACACTTGTTGGTTGACTACAAGACATCGCTAGGCATGGAATATGTTTTTGTCATTGTTTGTTTGCTCGTTTCCTACTTTTATATTCTTTGTGTTGTGTGTTTATGTTCGTTTATCTCTGCATTGTCATTCTCAGTATTAACTCTAGAACATAAAAAAAAAAAGAAACATCTTTCTATAAAAAGTCGAAAGATCAGTGTCAAGCATTCGTTAATAGCGTATCATCATCATCATCATATGCATGAATGTTTCTAGCAGAAAAATATCGATTTGATACTTCCTGTATTGTTTTTCTTTTTTAATATCAACTATTTTTGGCTATTTTTTATATAAACTTCCTCCAGTATACCAAAGAAAAAACCAAATAAAGATCCCTTGCATTTTTTATGTGTAAAGAAGAAAATAAAAGAAAATCGATCATAGAATTCTTTTATTTCTTATTCTAGTGTATAAAATACATGTCTTCTAATTCGATTGTAGAATTATTTTCACCATCAAATTTGAGACCTTCATCGAATGATATGCCTTTAAGACATATAACATTATTAGATGCACAAACTCAACAGACATTATTGAAACTGACAATTCCAAAAGTACTTGTCCTTTATACAGGTTCGCATTAGCTCGTTTTTAATTTGCATTGTACCTTCTCGACCCCTTCCCTCACAAAAAAGAACAAAAACAAAGAATAACTTATTGTTACTTTAGGTGGTACAATTGGTATGAAAGTTTTACGTAATGCATATGAACCTGTAGCAAATTATTTACTTGCTGCACTACGTAGTATGAATATTATGCATGATATTCAATTTGCCGAAACAATGAATGAAATTGATCCGGAAAAATCTTTTCTTTATTTACCGTTAAGTGTTTTCATATATGACTAAGAATAAATTTTATGCAATTATCCATTTTTTTAGACTTGCAAATGAAGAATGCATTGCATATTATATTAAAGAATATATTCCATTACTTGACTCAGCGAATATGACATTTGATAATTATATTCATATTGCACTTGATATTAAAGCAAGAAGAAAACTTTAATAAAGGAAACAATTTCTTGATATTTGATTCTTTTTCTTTTCATTAAGGAAGTTTATAATTTATTCGATGGATTTGTCAGTAAGTTAATAATGAATTATTGAAAGTAAATTTCTTTTTTTTTTTTTGTTTTTGTTATGTTTAGTCCTCCATGGTGTAAGGCAATAAATAATGCAATAAATAATGATTAATTTATAATTTTGAAATAGACTGATACAATGAGCTACACGGCAGCAGCTCTTTCATTTATGTTTGAAAATCTTTCAAAACCAATTGTACTTACAGGTTCACAAGTAAGTAAAATAGATCATGTTCAATATTCAAAATAATATTATTATTCTATTTTAGATCCCAATATTCGAAACACGAAGTGATGGTCGAGACAATCTTATTGGAAGTTTACTCATTGCAGGACAATATCATATTCCAGAGGTTATTTACGTTAGAAAAACAAGAAAATAATAAAGTATTTTATTTGAATATTTTAAGGTTACTCTTTATTTTCGAAATCGACTTTATCGAGGGAATCGTGTAACAAAAATCGATTGTGAAGGTTTAAATGCATTTGATTCACATAATTTTCCGACATTGGCAGAATTTCGAACTAAAATTCAAGGTACAACCCACATTAGTAGGCAAAATCCTCCTCCTCCGTCCCCTGTATCTCCACTATCATACATGCTGATAGTCGGAAAATTTCCGTAAACACCCTCCACTAAGAATGCTAATCTATAGTACAGGTTTACTGCAATTGTTTAAATGGGACAAGAATTATAAGAGATTGCATCTATTTATTCTTTTAATTTCATAAGTCTAAAAAAGAAGAACTTTATGAATGGACTCGTTCGTCATTATTTAGTAGTATATTTGAGTAGGAAAAACTATCTGTTAGACGTTGAAAACGATAATTCAGTGATAGTTCAGTTAATTGAACTGAAACTTCTACGTAAGTTTTATCTGTGTTTTGACATGATTACCTACAAATTTCATGAGAGAACTTTCTACTAAATGAAAATGTCATCCGAGTTCATAGAACTAAGAGACATTTCGAAACAGAATATTCAATTAAACATGTACATACAAATTTTCATGCCTTCAGCATGTATTGTAGCTGAAATACGGAGGTGGAAAACTTTTATCTATTACTACATTTTTTTTTCTATTGAACTAATCCAAATATAGTTTGTCTTTTGTTTTAGTTAAATGGGATTTAATTTTTGATCGATCATCTGAGGGTCCATTTAATGTTCATACAAATTTAAACCGAAATGTTTCACTTCTTCGTCTTTTTCCTGGTATAACATATTTAACAGTGCGTCAATTTCTTGAACCACCAATTCAAGGTGTTGTTTTACAAACATATGGAGCAGGAAATTTACCAACAAATCGACCAGATTTAATTGAAGAATTACGTAAAGCAGCTGAACGTGGTGTTCTTATTGTTAATTGTACACAGTGTGCAAAAGGAAATGTTTGTTATGCGTATGAAAGTGCAACATCATTACAAAAAATAGGCGTTTGTGTAGGATCGGACATGACAATTGAAGCTGCTTTGATGAAAGTGAATAATATAAATTTTCATATAACAACAAAAGAATTCTTTTTTTCCTTATATTTAGTTATCATATGTCCTTGGTAAATATTCATCGGATATGAAAGTAATGAAAATGAAAATGGCTGAAAATTTACGAGGTGAAATGTCTACAGATTCGAGCAAACTAAAATGTCCAACAATAAGTCTTGATTGGATATTAAATGCAACCAATGATGAATCGAATAAGGTTTTTATTTATTTCTATAATTTTGTATCCCAAAAAGTTTGTTGTTGTTTTATTTACTTATCTAAGGAATCGGCTCAATTTCGTCAATCATTATTACCGTGGTTAATTGCAACATGTGCTCAAACGGATGATATAACTACTCTAAATCATATACAAAAAACTCAAACAGGTATCAAATTTAATATAGTATTACCATGTGGTTCGATGCCACTTCATGTTTGCGCTAAATATGGTGCGATAAAATGTGCTGATTTACTTCTGCGTATTGGTAATAATGAAAATCCGATTGTTAATGAACCTGATCAAGTTGGTTTTACAGCACTTTTTTATGCTATTCTTCAAAAAAATGAAGCAATGATTGAATTATTAGTTCGTAATGGTGCAAAATTAACAGCAACATTAAAACCAAGTGAAATTGGAATGTATTTATGTAATTGTGTTAAACATAATGAAGTTGATCGATTAATAGCATGGCATAAAGCAGGAGCGAATCTTGATCAAACTGATTATGACGGTCGAACACCACTTTTATTGGTAAATTATTTTTGTATGTTATTTTATTATGAAATTGATTATCTTTTATTTTATTTCCTAGGCTGTAAATTATAATTCTATTGATTGTGTTCATTATTTATTAGACAATGGTAATATTGACATCTCATGGTGTGATAATCGTAGTATGACACCAATTCAAATAGCTAAACAACGCGGTTTTGATAGTATTGTTCAACTACTATCTTCCTATGCAAAAAGTCAATAAAAAAAAAAACTGAAAGCTATTCTATGACATATATCATAAATCTCACAAGTCTCACCCTTGAATCTTTGTTAAATATATGCGTGTACTATTTTTTTTTGATGTTGTCAAGTTTTTTGAATCGTTTTCACTGGTCATCAAGGATATTTATATGTGTTTATCGAATTTGAAATTTTATTCTAGATAGAAAATTGACGAAAGTCATAAGATTTTGGTTTTTAACAGCAATGAACAATTGAATATTACAAGACATTTTATTTAACGTTTGAGATATTTTGTTTCTTTTTTTTCTTAAACCAATCAGTTCCATTGGAATTTTTCTTATACAAAAAAAAAACAGGTATAAACGTAATAGATTTTTTTCATAATGTGACAAACGTAAAATACATGTTTTGATGAATTGATATAAATAACATATTGCTTTATGATTGATAAGGGATCATTAAAAAAAAAATAAAAAATAAAGTAAAAATTAGTGAGTAATTTATGTGAGACAGCTGTAAATGTTATCAGTACGAAGATTTTTATGAGAACTAATTTATTATTTTAGAAGTATTCGAAAAACTTCATGTAAGTGAATGATATTATAGTGATATATAGTTAGTCGCGGTTTATTCATATCTATAAACAATAATTATCTATATTTCGAATATATTTCATCTTATAAATCACTTAATGCTATTATAGTCTAGTTAGTCATGTAAGTTTGTATAAAATAAAAGAATAGAGACGTTTTTTTCTCTCGTGTATTTGTAAAATAATAATAGCGTCGAATAGACTTTGAAAAGCATGCAGTAAGTTGCTGTGCACATTGTTTACTAAATTACTAGCATGCGAGAGGAGAAAAAAATATAGAGGTATAATTGTTACATATAAATATATTTCAAACTGTATAGCCTTTTGATCACAATCCTTTTCTTTTCTTTCTTTGACTATTATTCTTTTGTTCGTTAACGTATTATACCCAATGAAAAGTACGAAAAGGTTATTTATGTAAATACATCATCGATTTCATTATATTTCACTTTATAATGGCAAGAACTTTCTAGTAGAAAACATCTGTTTGTAGTTGATATTTTTTCACCTCTGAATCATCTAATCTTTACTCTTTGATCGTCGGTATTTTCACCTTGACTATAGTCCAACTTTTATCGGTTCTTATCTTAATTGTTCTTATCGAACTTCTTTGTTAGCTATTTTACACACATATGTATCTCGTTGCTTATATAAAAAGAGAAGCAAGCGCATATTCTTTTTTCATAATAATCTGTGCATATCATTACAACTTTTCTAGACTGATATTTCTTTTATTATTCGTTTGAATGATGCTTAATTTTCAAACTCTCTCATGTCTTCATGACATACCAGGTAAGAAAATTTAAATTTTGATTTGAATATGTTTTTTATTATTTCATTTTTAAAGTTGTTCGCTCATCAACTAATAAACTTCATGATGTTTATGCCAAAGCGAAAGATGCAAGTGTACTTATTCGGCTTCCATGTAATTTAGCTGAGACAATTGCTGATAAAACATTAAAAATTGCTCTTACAGTTGCTAATCCCGTTGTTAAATCATTATCTGAACCTGGTAAATTAGTAAAGAATTCTTTTTTTTTTTAAATCTTTCTATATACATTCTAATAATATAGTACGTGTAATTGACAATTATGCTGCTCAAACAATTCGTCAAATTGAAACAAAATACCCTATGATTAATACACCAACTGAAAACGTTGTGAATACATTCAACATAAAAACAAAACCAGTTTTCAATGTAATGAATTCAGTTAAGGATACAACAACATCAACCATTCAACATGGCAAAGACACTGTAAAAAAATTTCATTTTTTTCGATTTTCTTTTTATTATTTTTTTTTCTGGTGCTTAGGTTTCTAATGTAGCAACAGCTACCGTCAATAAAGCATCTAATGTAGCAGATTCTGTATTCTCATATTGTGAAGCAAATGTACCTGGAAGTACGTAAATAATAATAAGAATTTTTTTTTTGTGAAACACGATCGAAAAAGATTGTTGAAATATATTGGACAAAAATTTAGAACGCCCTATCTCCCTATAGACTCAGACAAACGTCAGCTACAGACTGTCACCGATGAGGACAGGTGCTAGTCGGAGATTATCATATACTATGACATAGCTTTTTGGGTTATGATCACAGGCCAAATATCAGTAACGGCTTGTTACAATATATGAACTATTTTCTTATTGTATTTCTAAAGGATTCAGTAAAAGAAGGGTGAAGAGATGTGTCGCAAGATAGACAGAATAAAATAATATCTTCTGATTAGTAACAACATCTACATTGTTTTTCACATTTTAGTCTGACAGTAGTAATGCTAACAGCCTTTTTAAATGTCTCTTTGTAATATTTCTAGTGGAACGTCGTAATACTGGTAAAAGAAGTAGAATAAGTGAATGTATGTCTTCAACTGTTGGTTCATTATGTCATCATGCATGTGAATCGGTTCAACCATCTTTATTATGGTTTAGAATGTTGGTTGCAACCTGTTTACTAAAAACTAAACAAATTAATGATTTTTTACTTACTAAAATGCAACAACAACGATTTTTACCTGTTTTACCACAACGATTATTAATTTTTGTCAGTAATTTCTTGGAAAATGTTACTAGATTAATTAAACCTAAGGATGCTAAATTGGCTGAATGGGAAACAACTCAGCAACGAACTGGATTCAATTCATTATCACAATTCTTTTTTAATCGGTACGAAAAGTGAAATAATTTTTAATAAATAACTATGAAATATCATTTGTATTCTAATAGACAAAACTTAAAACCTGATCAATCTGCAACTGCTCGTAAAAAGGTTGTTATTAATCAACCAGAAACAGGAGTAAATCGTCCAAGTAATTTCAATAATATTCCAGACTCACAACCCGATTATTCAAATATGACTGATACAGAAGAACTACATGCTCGTTTAGGTTCGCATGATTTATGTCAATCAAATTATAATACGGACAATGATACATGGACAAGAGAACCTGTTAATCGTTTTGCAAATAATGATATTACACAGTTACATTCTGAACTTAAACCAACTGATGTTGAACTCCTTTATTCTCAATTATCTGCTGATATTTTACCAAAAGTGGATGATCAAGAACCATTAACTGAAGACCAACAAGAACTTCATGCTAAAATCATTGGTGCTGGATTAGAAGATCAAGGTTATCTTGTAGATGAGAATGATGATTGAACGTGAACAAATTTATATTTATTCTAGCTTCATTCTTTTAAAAGTCATTTATATGTCTTTTTTCCTTCTTGGTTTCATTAACATTTTCTTTCCATTTATCTTCGCTTTTTTGTTTTATTGTTATTTCATGTTATTATTGTTGATCTTCTTTGATGTTGATATCCGTGTTATCATTCATTATTCCATGATCTATAGTCGACTTTTGTTTAAAAAATGCATATGTGATCAATAGCAAAAAATTTTGTTTCTTTTAGTTTTCGATAAAACGTATTTACCAACAACAAAACGCTTGTGAATTGTATTTTTCATGGATACTTCTATAAATAGTTAACTGTAAAAAAAAACAAGGTTCTCAGAAGATCTTTTTTTTTCGTTTGTAGAACTTTGTAGAGCTTACTGCACTGATCATTTTTGTAAAAGAAAAATATTGAAATTCACTTGTTAAATCGTCATTGTAGAGTCAAGATACTCGAATATATCACCTACCGTTCAGCAGTAGTCAAAAGTAACCGCAGTTTTTGAGTAATTTTGACTATTGTTTTCAACCAGAATGATTGGTGCAATGATCTCTACAAAGTCCTACAGATAAAGAAATCTTCTGAGAATCTTGTGTTTCTGTTTTCGATTGAGCATCGATGTAAGTATCCATGAAAAATACGATTCATAAGAATTGTGTCGTTGTCAGTACAAACCAAAGTGAAAGAGGGAAGGAAAACAAAACCACAAAAGAAATAAAAGAGAATAATTATAATAATTTATGAGGATAGTTCTCCACCTGTGTAGTCACTGTTTAGTCAATACTATGTGCATAATGTAGATCCGAATGATCTATGAGTACTCTGAAAAAATTCGGGCCTTTAGCTTATTGCTACTGAAATACTGCACTTTTACTGCATTTTTTAAAATAAATGCCATAGCCCTCACCCCTCCAGGACACTAGAAAAGCTGATTTTCGAACTTTGATTTGAAGTTTTGTACAGTGACAGGTTTTAGCAAGAGTAGTATATTGTGAAAGTTTAGGATCTTTTGATTGACTTTTATTCTCAAATAAGAACATCAAATCAGCTGGTTTATATGAGCGGTGTAAAATATATGCTATTATCATAGTTCTATCTTATGATAGGAACAGCGATAATTTCCTTTTACCACAGCGTTCATTTAAAATATAACGTAAAATATATAGTAATGCTTTTATTTAAGCTATGAGCGAACATCGCTCCTGTAGCAGGAAAAAAGAAAACCAACTTGATACAACATTTTATAAAGACAAGTTGACGAGAAAGGATCGAACAGAGATGGACGATCTTCGGATAGCATTTTACGAATATTTTTACGGATTCTTCCTCTGCCAAATATTTTTCTTCTTTGAGTAGCTAATGTTGGATTAGAAAGATATTCACAAAGGTATAGAATCGATAATTTGTGTTGTAAGAAATCTTCAAGAATGCTAGGATTTGTTACTAGAATTGTATGAATTAATTTATCCCAATGTTTGAATGTTAATTTCGAAATAGATTGATATTTGGGTAGATTTTCGATTTCGATATTTCTTGCATCAAACCCTTGATGTAACATAGGTGTAAATCAACAAAAACATTGGTTTGCATTAACAAGTGAATAGACCGTTGATTTTGGAAAAAAAATAATAAAGAAAATGCATTTCTATTTTTCTTCTTTATTTCCTCATTCCTCATCTCTTTCATCTCGTTTAACAATACAAGAAGCCTGAGTCCTACTATTGCAAAAAAACTAAGTTTTTCGATTCATTACGAAAAAAAAAACAGTTAGAGAAGCGCAATAGATTTAATAATTTATAGTCTTTGTATTCTATTTGAACATTTCAAAATTGTTGTCAAAGGATAGCAAAGAATAAATTATAGTGTTCCTCAGGTCAAGCACTACAAATCGCTTTTAATTATTAATATTGTATCTTAATTAGTTTTCAGAAAAGTAAAGTTTATCAGAACATAATCAATTAGTAATGTATAATAACCGACAAAAATGCAAAGACTTCTTGAAGATCAACATTTATTTCAATAGAAGATAGGAGAGAAAGGATAATCCCTAGGAATATAGCCATTGCACACAAGGTGGTCATAACGAACCTCGTTCATGAAAAATTGCAAATTAGCGACATCTATATGCTTTTTAATCATCACACCCAAAATCCTTCAGTACTCTTCTTAATTAGTATTTTTGAGTTCAGAATTAATTAGAATCTTAATGCCTTGATTTTGTGTATATACAAAGTGTAGGTTAGAAACAAATGCGTGATACGACACCAATCCGTTGCACCAGACCACAGATCAAATGAAAATATAACGTAAAAGTACAGTATCTCAGTAGCAATAATTTAAGAACACAATTTTTTTTTTCAGAAAATTCATAGCTCATTTGGATCTAAATACTGCACATAGTCCTGATTTACAAGCAACTGAACAATTGGAGAACTTCTTTTGTTAAATAAATCGAATAGAAAAACAAAGCAATTAATCCTTATAGTATTTTTTATTCCAGATGTCAAATTTACGCAAACAAATTTTTTCTAAAACACTTCCACCTATTGGTCCATCATCATCTAAGAAGTTATCATCAGATAATCAAAAAAAAGCATCGTCTATTCGTAATTATACACCTATTGAATGGAACACATATTTTAATGATAAACGTTATATAACAATAGATAAAAATATTTTTTGTTTATATTCACGTAATACAAATGATTTATCCTCACCTGTTTTATTTTTCTTACATGGTGGCGGTTTTTCGGGTTTAAGTTGGGCTCTTATGTCAAAAGCAGTAACAAATCTTGTACAATGTCAATGTATTGCTATAGATATTCGTGGTCATGGTGAAACAAAAACTACAGATGACAATGATTTAAGTATTGAAACCCTTACAAATGATATTTGTCAAATTTTACGTCATTTATTTAATGAAGACAATAAACCTCCGATTTTCCTTATTGGACATTCAATGGGTATATAAAAAAATGAAAAGTATTAAAGAATTTGTTTAAATATTTATTTATAGGTGGTGCACTAGCTGTTCATGTAGCAAAAGAATGTCCATCAATGATTGATGCGCTTTGTGTTATTGATGTTGTAGAAGGTGAAAAAACTAGATCCTTGTACAGAGTCAATTAAGTATTGTAACAAAATTCAGTGTTAACAAATGAATGTCTTTTTTAAATAGCAGGTTTTGTTTTCCAACATTAAGTGTACAAGCTGATATATTGTAGAGACTTCAACAACATCTTATTAAGGCCTATAAACATCAAAGAAAGTCAGAATTGAATTTGATTCCGACTTTGCTTCGTGTCTAGATATTCGAAACAGTTCATATGTTAAAACTGAATTTTCAATAAAAAATATTTACTTAACTCTATGCAGTGTCCTAGAGAAAATTTAGTTTTGATTTTGAAGAATATTTTTATAATTTAAATTTATAGGCAGTGCACTTGAATCTTTAAGCTCAATGCAATGTTTTCTTAGTTCAAGACCAAAACAGTTTTCTACTCCACAAAAAGCTATAGAATATATCGTACGAAGTGGTCAAGTACGTAATATTGAATCAGCTCGTGTTTCTGTTATCGGACAAATTCAACCAATGATTACTACTCAATCGAACGAAACAGATTCTTCTTCTACTATAGTATCAAATCCTACATTTCCGGCTGTTTCTCATTTATGTGAAACTGTTCGAGAAGAAGATGAAGAGGAAGAAAATGATGGTGATCATAAATCTCCTGATACCTTTCAACAGCCAACTTCAACAAATATTTCAAATGACACAAATAAATATACATGGAGAATTGATCTTTCAAAAACAGAAAAATTTTGGGAAGGATGGTTTTCGGGTTCGTAGAATTATTTATTCGTTCGTAAAAATATCTTGGTTTTTTTCATTCTCATAGGTTTATCAAAATTATTTTTATCATGTGAATGTCCGAAGTTACTTTTATTAGCTGGTGTTGATCGTCTTGATCGTGATTTAACTGTTGGTCAGATGCAAGGTAAATTTCAAATGCATGTTGTTCCTAAAAGTGGTCATGCTGTACATGAAGATGCACCTGAACAAGTTGCTGATTGTATTGCTTCATTTCTTGTTCGACATAAATTAGTACAAGCAAATGATGAACATTTTCAAGCAACATTACCCGGATGTTAGAACAACGAAAAGAATCTATCAAACATTTATTCATCAGTTTTTTTAAAATTTTTCTCTTCTCTGTATCTTTCCCCTTGACCACTTCAACGTTGTAAAAAAAGATGTTCCTTTTTCTTACTGAGCACAAAAAACGAAAACAATAAATAAAGAGAAAAGCAAAACATTGCTCTAAAATAAAATAAGATATTTTGTTTGACAATAAAAAATTTCTCATGTAAATTTTATTTTTTATTTCTATTTGTTCTCTATTAAATATCAAATTTTCGTATTTTTGTTTCTATATTAATTGTAAGTACAAGATGAGTCATAAATAAAATTACTAACAGAAAATGAAATATTTCGGCGTCGGTTCAATCATATAAGACGGTTTTTTGACTAGTGATAAAAGTTTAATTCAACGTTTGTTTTTCATCCAGATAAGAAACGAGTGATCAAAATGATTTCGAACAATATGTTCACTTTTGACTCATTAGAAAGTATTTCTAATGACTTAGTATCATAATTTTATGTTCTTTTTGAATATGTCCTTAGAAATTTTTGTCTTATTCTTTGTATGAGAGTAGTGAAATAATTTTTGAAAAGCCCAAAAGATAATTTTGAACAGAAAATTTTTGTATTTTCACTATTGCGATTTGAAACTAAAAGTTGATATTTTTATTTATATATCAGTTTGTAGGTCAGAGGCTACTCTACAAAAAGCACTGGTTGAATATCTTTTTTAACTTTCAACAAGGCACATCAATTGGCGTCCTTCCTATATATTCATTTTTGAAAAATCGACAATTGTTTTACGGTGGAAGAAGCTCTTGAAAGAATGCTTTGTAATCCAA